GGGGCAGGGCCACGCAGGGCAGGGGGGGGGGGGACACTAGGCTGGAGGGACGTGTCGCCCCGTCCCACAGACCTAGCGCCGCGTGCCCGCTGCCTGCGCAGCCCCTCGCCCTGCGCGCCCTCCCAGCCTGGGCCGGGGCGCTGCGGGACCCCCAGCCTGCCCCCGGGGGAGCAGCCGCATAAGGCGCTCGGGTTCCTCCCTGCCCCGGGCTGAGGGGCGCACAGACCGCAACGCGGTTCGCCTTCCCGAGGATCGCTAGCGCAGAGCGCTCTGCAGGCGGCTCTCGTGAGAGACATTGGGCCGCGCAATGTGTGTCTCATAGTATACAGGGGCCGGGGCGCTGCGGGACCCCCAGCCTGCCCCCGGGGGAGCAGCCGCATAAGGCGCTCGGGTTCCTCCCTGCCCCGGGCTGAGGGGCGCACAGACCGCAACGCGGTTCGCCTTCCCGAGGATCGCTAGCGCAGAGCGCTCTGCAGGCGGCTCTCGTGAGAGACATTGGGCCGCGCAATGTGTGTCTCATAGTATACAGCTCCCTCCGCCAAACAACCCATGCCGTGCAATATTTAACCTATTAGCCTTCCCCTACGTTGCGGACTAAACGTTATGAAATCTCCCTTTTCCCCCCTACACCACTCCTGAGAGACAGATACTTCTAGGCCACATTCTCATCCTCTACTCTTCAGTCTAGGTACGGTGCAGTTGTATATTCTGCATAGTTTACTCCTCCCCCACATCCCATTGGAGCATAAATACTGCAAAATACACACACATACCCTCCTGGGGAATAGTACACAGACTATATGCTACTTATTTCATGCCTCAAGGCGTCATTCCGTGCAATATTATTATATTGGCATGAGCACACTCCTACAATTGAGGCTAGGTTCAGTGTGTCATTTAAGCAGACACTTTTTTGTTTTAGTGAAAAGAACATGGTGTATGTAACCAAATTTACAGCTCAGAATCTGTGAATAAATTTTTACATTTATGAAGATTTGCAAGTAAATCTGTTATTTATCTTATGAATGAAAGTTAATTAAAAATAGGTCCTTTTGGGAAAAAAATCGGTGAGTGGCTCATTGGTTTTGTTTTGTTGGTGGTGGTTTTTGTTGTTGTTGACAATTCTATCTAACAAATCCTTTCTTTAATATCCTCCAGTATTTCCATGCAGCTAATTTATTGTAAACTAGTGCCTAATGCACATTTCAAGAAACAAGGTTACTTATAATTAAGCAATGTGATTAATGACTGTTAGTGTCTAATTTTCCCTTTTTCAAAATGATGCTTATATACCCTACAATAAGACTGAAGTCAAACTGCCCTCAGGAAAAAAATGTTAACATCCCCTTCCCCTCCAGTTCTGTAATAAATTGGACCATAAACTGAAGAAATAATTATGTCTCAGACAGGATGAGACCATCCCAGAACTGCAGGCACTGTTGTGCTGGAATGAGGTAGACAGTGATATGTCTACTGATACCCTCACAATTATTCTCCACTTCCCTCCCTTTAATGTGAGCAGAGGACTATTGTGTGTGAACAGAGATGGCAACCTCCAGGGGGCTTAAGCCGAGAACTAGAGTGTGAGCTCCTGTCTTCCCTACAATATATCCTGGTCCACTCTTGGTAACTGCAGGGCCTCTCCAAAAATTCAACTCAACACAACATCCCCTTCTCTTGCCCGATGCTGCAATTTCATTAACCCTTCCTTTATTTTTTTTATAATGGAGATTGCCTATCTCCTAGAACTGGAAGGGACAAAAGGTCATTGAGTTTTGCCCCAAATGGCCTCCACAAGAATTGAACTCACAACCCCAATACTCAAACCACTGTCACTATATGTAATAAGAAAAACTGAGAGAAGGCCTTTTTATCTACCTCTTCATATCCTTCTCTTGTAAAAAAAAAAAAAGATAAAAACACCGACATCAATTCTATTAGGAAATAGTTCATTTTAAAGGGGTTAAGTTTGGTTAAGTGTAACATCTGTCCAAAGTACAAGCCACAGAAGCAAGAAAATGCCAAGTTATGTGATATCCTTAAATGGACCCTCACATCCCTCAAGTAGGTTTACACTGCTATCACAGATTCCACAGCCTTCACATGAAATTATCTTCTGATTTCAAAAGATAGCACACACTTCTCAAAACCTGTTACATCTCTTTCACACCATTATAAAGCAAAACTTTAATCTCAACTTCAGCAACATTAGCAAATGTTCAACATTGACATATGTGCATACTAAATGAAGATGCCTTATGTATTTGTGGGGAAACAAGGCCTATGAACCAACCGAATTTCCAGAGCATGGCGTGCCCCATCTACAACACATCACACTCTTATTGTGGCACTGAATTGGCTATGTACATGCTGAAACTAGGGGTTCTACAAAATCCTATGGCTTTCAGTTGTTTCCATTACATACAGGATTTACAGTTTGGTTCAATGACTTTCACCATTCCCATTATAAAAATTGTTCCAGCACCCCTACATCACCTCACCATCTAGGAATCCCCCATGCCAAGAGAATATGTTTGATTAGGTCAATTATAAGGTTGCTTTGTGCTGCAGTAGCACAAATTAGCCTTATTCAAGGTCAGAATCTAACTCTGTACCTCTCATGTCACACACACATTCAAACAATATACAAAACACCTATATATTGATATTTCACTGTGTAGCTGGTTAGGCCTCCCAGAGGGGCTCCTCTGCCTCCAGACCAGTGGGCGGCCACTCTGCCCCACTACACACTGCAAGATGTCAGGCCCACACACTGATCGCTGTTGCCTGCAGATCCTGTTGTCTCCAGCACCATCCTGATTTTAATGGAGTTCTGTGAGTGGAACATTCCTGCGACCCCAGATATTTAAGGGCTGTGCAAAATGTGCCAATGTATCTGGGAGACTTCCTGATGTGATGATGGTGAAATGGCATAAACTGTCCCCATGGAAATTCTCCGTCCTCTGTGATTGTGTTCCAATACAGATGTAACAACAAACTCTGAGACTGCATTCTGATGCCATGTGACAACCTGTGTTTGTCTTTATATGATGATCTAACAATGCTATGTAATGATAGTTCACTAAAATGTCATATTGCATTGTGACATGTTAACATACCTCCGTGAAGTCCTAGTGTTCACATTAGTGCCACTCAACAAACTCTCAAAGGTGACAGACCTACTTCTATTTATGTGGGTCATACTAGATATGTATGTCATGAAGTTCCAAAAAAACTCAACCGATATGATTGTACATATGTTAGAACTGAGGATTACCACAGAAAGGGTTAAAAATAGCTTTTTAATCTAGATATTATCAGGAGATATTTGGATACCACAAGTGTCACCTCCTAGCACACCCAAAGTGGGCGTTAATCACAACCACTCACTTCTACTGTATTTTACTATTTAAGCAACAGATGATCTATTATGGACAAATTAATGCTATAATTGCATGATTAATGTATAACCTAACAACTAAGGTGCAGTAAAAGAACATTATTTCTAATTATCGTGCTCATAACTTCATCTTTTTAAATATAGCACTTGGAAGATCTGGTTAAACAATTAGTTGGGATGAATAGCAATTAGTAATTCCTATGCTAGCATTTTACTCCACCTTTGTTCAGTTGTCATGTTTTACATGACTAATAAAACACTATGGCATAATTAGGAACAATTGTTAAATCTTTAGATTTGCTGCTACATGTATGAAAAATCCTATATACTGTAGCAAACCCTGACATTCATCCTTGTGCAGAAGATCAGCACAAGCCCCAAGCAGGGGACTTAATTCAGGGGTGGGCAATAATTTTGGAAGGGGGGGCCACTTCACAAATTTTGGAAGTGGCCTCACGCTGACCTGGAAGGGGTAGGGCCTCGGGCGGAAGGGGCAGGGTTAAGAACTACCCTGCTGGGTACGGTGACCTTATTATCTGAACCAGCTGCAGCTAGTTAGAACAGTTTAATTTAAATTATTAAACAGATTAAGAATTTTAACTTTCTTATGATCATTTATCAAAATTCATTTTAAATAAAGTAAAATATTTTGTCCAAAAACAAAAGGCTTCAATTTTTTCTTTATTTATGGAAGGGGTGGGGAACCCTTTTTGGGTCTGGGTCACTGACTCACAAAAAAATCAGTTGGGGACCACACAAGAGACAAGCAAAAAAACTCCTCGAAAACGCCCCAACGCTCACTGATGTGACCTCAACTGAGACACCTCAGTCCTCTATTGCCACAACCTCACGTGGTGATGGGAAGGGGGAAAATGAGGTTCAGGGATTCTCATAGACCAGATTTACTTTTCTGGGTTTCTGGAGTTAGTGGATTTTATGGACCTCCTTAGGCTCTGGGATAGGGACAAAAATATGGGGTACAGTGTGCAAGACAGGGCTCCCAGCAAGTAGGATAGGGATGGGGTACAGGATCTGGGAGGTAGCTAGGGTGCAGAAGCAGGCTGAGAGTAGGGTTGTCTGGCCAGATGGAGGGAGCAGGAACAAGGGAGGGTGCAGTATGTGGCCAGGAGAGAGAGTAAAAGAACAAGGGAGGGTTTCAGAGCAAGCTGGGGATGCTGGGTCTTGCGGGGGGACGGAAGTGATGGGATTGGAATGCGGGGGTCTGGGCATGAGGGGGAACCTTACCTGGCTTTGTGTTCCCTTGCAGCAATGGCTGCAGCTACGCTCAGTGGCGGCCCTAGACTAGCTGCCAGCAACTGGCGCCCTAGGCGAACCAAGCAATCAGCGCCCCCACCTCCAAACCCCTCAATGATATCGTGCCACCATTTGGCGTCCCATTTAACTGGGTGACCTAGGCGACTCCACGAGGAGTAACAGTTAATTCGAACTAAGGAGTTAGTTTGAATTAATGTTTAACTGCCGCGTCTAGCCGCGGGCAGTTAGTTCGGACTAAAGGGGATTTAAAAATGGCGGCGCCCGGGAGCATGCAAATGAAGCCCAGGATATTTAAATCCCGGGCTTCATTTGCAACTCCGGTTGCCCTCATTCACCTACCTAGCTCGAACTAACGAGCTAGTGTAGACATACCCAGAGTGGGGTGGAGCGGGGGAGTGCGTCCCAGCTCTGTACCCCACTAGAGATGACTCTGCTGGGCACAGCATGCAGAGGGACCGGAGACTGGAGTTGGCCACTGGAGCCTGCAACACTGCATACAACAGTGTGCAGTGGCCTAACACACCTGGGGGAATTTGGTTCCCCAAATTTTGCGATGCCTTATGCAGCTGCATAATTTGTGCATTGGTAGGGAAGGCCTTGAGTGGGAGAGCTCTCTCTCCTGCTGGCACAGATTCTCTAGATTAGCGATCATACAGTGATGGAGCTCAGCAATACAGCTATGCCTCTGCAAACTCACAAGTATAGTCTTATCCAAACTCTAAAGCTTTGGAGGTTCTCTCATTGAAGCTTACAATGAGTACGTCTACACAGTGACATTATTTTGAACTAACTAGCGTTAGTTCTAAATAACGTAGTACCATCTACACAACAGGCAGATATTTCGAAATAATAGCGAAATACTGTCAAGCTAGAGGACTTCTTACTCCGACTGTGTAACTTTTCATTGTATGAAGAATAAGGGAAGTCGGAGGAAGAGTGCTCTATTTCGAAATAAGTGCTATGTGTTGGTGCTTGGTTCGGTAAAATGGCAGAAGTCCCAGAGGCTTGAGGCCAAATACCCAG